CGAAAATCAAAGTCATTGAAAGTTTTCCGATATGAAATTTACTTAAGTTTAACAAAGAAAAATAGATTTATACCTCGTGAAAATATACAAGAATGTAAAATTATAAACCCAAGATCAGCCAGGCCTGCCAGGACTCCCGCAGCCAGGACTCCCGGAGCCCATCCCCCCCCCCATATGAAATATGAAGGTGCAGAACAAACAGAATCTACCCCAGGGGGGTACCACACGCGAACGCGGTGGAGAATCCCCCTCTGAGCGTCCAACACCGGGACACTCAGCACCCGGTGGTGGACGCACAGGCTGCCCTTCGTATTCTGGGGGGGGCAATTCTGCGCTCGGTAAAAAAAACATTAATCGTTCTCGGGGCAAACGGAGCAATTCAACTAAGGCACCCCCGTCCACACTCGCCGTGGACTTCACAAATGTTAGGGGGCTCCATTCCAACATCAACGCTGTCCACTACCACTTAGAGACTGCGAAGCCGGCCTTGCTCTTTCTTACCGAGACTCAGATATCCCCCCCGGCTGATACTTCCTACCTCTCCTACCCGGGGTACAAATTGGAACATTCATTTGTGCCGCGGGCGGGAGTTTGCGTGTACGTCAGAGAGGATATCTGTTCTCGTCGCCTCGGGACGCTTGAAGGAAGGGACCTATCTAACCTCTGGCTGCGCGTAGACTGCGATGACCATCCGCGATTCTACGCATGCCTGTATAGGTCCCATAACGGAAATACCGAAACTGACCGACTCATTGAGCACATCCAAATGGCTACAGATTCCCTGCTCGAAAGGGTTCCTACCGCTGAAATCGTGATACTTGGCGATTTTAACGCCCACCATGCCGATTGGCTCGGCTCAGAAACCACCGATCATGCGGGAAGATCCTTTCACGACTTTGCTTTGGCTTACGACTTGACGCAAATGGTCCCTGCGATTACGCGAATACCAGATGTGGATGGTCATAAACCCTCTTTGTTGGACCTTCTGCTGACTTCACATCCGGAGAACTACCAAGTCTCTGTTGAACCGCCATTGGGTTCATCAGATCATTGTGTGGTCCGGAGCATTGTGCCGTTCACGCGCCCTCTTCGGCCTAGGTTCACGGGCTGTCGCCGCGTGTGGCACTATAAGTCAGCAGATTGGGATGGGATGCGGTCTTTTTTGCGTCCTACCCTCGGGGGCCCATTTGCTTTTCGTCAAGTACTCCAGATGCCGTCGCTGACTCTGTCGCCGAGGTGGTCCTGCAGGGTATGGAACTTTTTATTCCATTCTCTGCGGTGCCGGTCGGTGGCAAGTCCCAGCCTTGGTTTAGGCGTTCTTGCAAAGCGGCTTTGCGCCGTAAGCGTGAATGCTTTAAAGCCTGGGCAGAAGCGGTGACATCCTGTGATGTGACTATCGGCGAACGTAAAAAAGCATACAATTCAGCCTCCAGGTCCTTCAAGCGAGAAATCACTAAAGCAAAGTCAGAGCACATTGCCAGATTTGGTGAAAAATTGGCCCACCTCCCTTTGGGAACTCGAGCCTTCTGGTCTCTTGCCAAAGCTGTCCAAGGGAATTTCTGTCAGCCCTCAATTCCACCACTGCATAGGGAGGATGACTCACTGGCCCATACCGCGAAAGAGAAGGCCGATCTTCTAGGCTGTCTCTTTGCGTCGAACTCCACTTTGGATGATCAAGGGAATGAACCACCGACATTATTGCGGTGTGATACTACGATGCCCGAAGTTATATTCCGGCAACGTGCTATCCGTAAAGCTTTGTCTTCCTTGGACATCCATAAGTCGAGCGGGCCCGATGGCATCCCTCCAATTGTGCTGCGTACTTGTGCTCCTGAGTTGGCTCCGGTTCTAACGCGCCTTTTCCGGTACCTTTACACGCTCGGCACTGTTCCGAAGTGCTGGAAGATCGCTTCGATACATCCGATCCCTAAAAAGGCGATCGCTCTGATCCGTCCAACTATCGCCCAATAGCTATAACCTCCTTGTTCTCCAAAATAATGGAAACCATTATTAACAGCCAGCTCCTGAGGTATCTAGAGGGCCACCAACTGATTAGCGATTCTCAGTACGGCTTTCGTCGTGGTCGCTCAGCTGGTGACCTCCTTGTATACCTTACACATAGGTGGGCAGAGGCAATTGAGTCCAAGGGGGAGGCGCTGGCGGTAAGTTTGGACATAGCGAAAGCCTTCGATCGGGTGTGGCACAGAGCACTGCTCTCGAAGCTTCCAGCCTATGGGCTCCCTGAGAAATTATGCAACTGGATTTCCAGCTTTCTCGCTGATCGGAGCATCAAAGTCGTCATCGACGGAGCATGCTCCGACCTGAAACCTGTGAATGCTGGTGTCCCACAAGGCTGTGTCCTATCCCCGACCCTGTTTATTCTGCATATCAATGATATGTTGCAGCTTAGCAACATTCATTGCTATGCGGACGACAGCACTGGGGATACTTTTTACACTGGCCGGGCAGGTATTTCTCGGGCTGTTGTCGATGAGTACCGGAACAAACTTGTGTCTGAAGTCGAAACTCTTCTACGTGGAGTCTCGGACTGGGGTAGACTAAATCTAGTCCAATTTAACCCCAAGAAGACACAAGTTTGCGCGTTTTCCGCTAAAAAAGTCCCTTTGTCGCTACTCCCCTCTTTGAAGACACTCTCCTTAAAGCCTCAGCTAGCATCGGAATACTGGGCGTTGACATATCGAATAACGTTCAGTTTCGCGGTCATCTGGAAGGAAAGGCTAAATTAGCCTCCAAAAAGCTTGGTGTGCTCAGCAAGGCGAGACGGTACTTCACTCCGGGCCACCGCTTGCAACTATATAAAGCGCAAATTCGGCCCCATATGGAGTACTGCTCTCACCTCTGGGCGGGAGCTCCCCAGTACCAGCTCCTTCCACTTGACCGTATTCAACGAAGAGCGGTTCGAATCGTCGACGACCAGTCACTTTCCGTGCGGCTTGATCCCTTGGCGTTGCGTAGAGATGTGGGATCTCTCTGCATCTTCTACCGCATTTACCATGGAGAGTGTTCAGAGGAGTTGTTCGGTCTAATACCTGCAGCTGAGTTTCATCAACGGACGTCAAGGCAAAATACAAAATACCATCCGTATCACCTCGACGTCCGTCGTTCCACAACAGAGCGTTTTCTAAGGCAGTTTTTGCCGCGCACCACCACTATGTGGAACCAGCTGCCCACAGAAGTATTTCCGAACCAATTCGACTTAGGGTCCTTCAAGAAAAGAGCGTACCAATTTTTGAAAGGCCGGCAACGCACTTGCGAGCCTTCTGGCATTGTGAGTGTCCATGGGCGGCGGTGTCACTTAACATCAGGTGAGCCTCCTGCCCGTTTGCCTCCTATTACATAAAAAAAAAAAAAAAAAAAAGCCTACAAGCCCCATCAGATTCGATAATACAGGACATTTTCCCAGCACAAAAGAAGACATGGGGCGATGCAAGTTTTGCCAGAAAAACACAACTGTATATTGTATAAAATGCAATGTGAGACTTTGTTTTGTTACGGGAAAAAATCCTCGCAATTGTTTTTTACATTTTCATAATAAATAAGTTGATTTAATGATATGTATAATGTTTTTAATTTACCTGTTTATATGACACTAATTTGACAACGTTTACCACAGTGAACATTACAAATTACTTGTTATCCTCAACATATTTCGCAGTGTTCACTGTGATGAACGTTGATTTCCTGAAAATCTGAAAGGAAAATATTTTTTTGTCTATTTTTCCTAAGTTGTATTTAACCCTAGGATTTCAGATATACATCTTATTTCATAAAATAAAACAACTCGGATCTCCGCCAAATTAAGGGTTAACTCAATTAAAATCCTCTAATGCGTCACGAACGCGATCAAATAATCCAGTGAAATTTCAGAAGCGCTATCTGCAATAAAAATGATTTAATCCATTTGCATAATAAATTTGAACCATTTGTCTCAACTCTGTCGGAAACATGGCTTCGCCCGGAATTGACTTTTCGAATTCCAGGTTATGGTTTTCTCCGACAGGACAGACCTGGGGCCTTAGTCAAGATGCCTTAACAGTAGTGTATGTAGAAAGTCAAAAACTAAATTTGTATGAAAACTTTTCGACACGAACTGTCATTTCCATACAAATTAAGTTTTCGACTTTCTACATACACTACTGTTAAGGCATCTTGACTAAGGCCCCTGACGGGCGACGGCAATGGCGGTGTTGCCATAGTCATTAAAAATAATCTCCCCTATTCCTTATTTCCACTTCCCTCATTCGGAGATGACTTATCAGTCATTGCTGCTATTGTAAATACAATTTGTATAGTGTCTATTTATTTTTCTCGTTTCTCTAATGTAAATATTTTTACGTCAAAATTTAATGCGGATATGATGTAGGTGATTTAAATCACATCATGTTTGTTTGTCCTCGACGCGACCGGTCGGCTCTTCTCGAAGGTCTCATTTCCCTTCATCCATATCATGTTTACTTTCAACATTGGATATAAACTTTTTGCAGCTTTTATCTTAAGTAATAATATAAAAATTTAGACAATATGAACGTAAATATGTTTTCTTACACTCCTTTTGTATGTAGATTTATAAGAATTGATCTTTTATTTTATAGATTAATTATTTTCTATTCCTAAATTCCTTTCCAGCCGATAATTTTATGTTTTTACCCGTTTCCCTGTTTTTGACCCTGGGCCACAATGCACAAACCGTGCCGGCCATTAAAAAAAAAATTATGTCACTTGACATAATATATGTAAGATATTTTAATTTTTTCATTATATTATTTTACTTTATAAAACCTAGAATATAGGCTTTAAATGTTGTTTCTTTTGTATTCACAGAGAAACGCAGTTGCGCCTTATTTATTCCCAGTATAAGCGATTGATACTATTATATGTATATTAAAAAAAATTAAAGATATAAAGGTAAATTTTATTTTACATAGTACGTAACAATAAACAATAAAAACAATATTATGTTGAATTTTCACTCAGTGAAACTATTTATAATTTTGTCTAGCTATCTCTGGGTTAAATTGTGAATTATACTTAGGTATTACTTTAGGAATTTTATCTTTCTTCTCATTGCTGTGTACACCAGATAATTTTGATAAAAATAATTCAGCTTTATATTTCTCTTGTTGTTCACGTTTGAGTCTTGCTTCTCTAAGCCTTTGAAGATTTGATTCTTTTTCAGGTTTAAGCTTATGTTTAGTTTTGTTTTTTGTGGTGTTGTCCAAATTTTTTGTAGATATATCTTTTGGTTCTTTGTCTGTTTGCGATCTTAGATGTTTAAATGAGTTGAAAGGATCATGTTTCTGTTTGGATTTCCATCCTATTTCACCATTTTTCATATCAACATCTATTTTCTTTCGATTACCATCTTCATCTTTAAGAACGAGTTTATCATATGTGTCTTTAACATATTCTGGTCTAGAGAATCGAGATGATCCTGGTGCTATGTCATACCAATTTTTTTTGCCTAAAGCTTCATTTGTGTCTTGTCCGAGATAGGTCAAGTAGCCAATTTGTTTTTCATATTCTTCTTTTTTCTCTTTTACTTCTCTATCATGATCTTTATTTGTTTTATTATTGGAATGTTCAATATGGTCAAATAAATTTATGTGCTCTAGATCTTCTTTAACATCTTTAAAGTTATTATAGCTTGTTTGTATATTCAATGATTCTAGTTTTTTTTTACTTTTTTGCTTAAGAATACTTAATCGTAGTTCTTTATCTGCCTGTTCTATCCTTGTTTTCTCTTGTCTTTCTTTTTCGGCTGCTTCTGCTTCATCTTTTCTTACTCGTGCAATATTTTCTTTCGTCCGTACATGCCACCTATAATATATTTAAAATAAATGGTACGTAGATAAACTATTTTGCCCTAATATAATACCACTTATCAAATACTTAATATAATAAGATTACTATATACTATAAATAACAAATAATTACCTTTTTTTTGGGAGAATATTCATAATGTTTATGTTAAATTACAAATAAAAATTAAAAACAGCTTTAATATTAAATTCACTTCACAAACTAGAACCTAGAAAGATCAAAGACTATATCACAATTCTGAATTCACAGATCTAGTAAAGGTACCTCTACGGCTCTACGTGACTTTATGTATTAACCGAAGAGTATATACTAGAACACTTCGTATATTTACAGATCAAGTAGAGTAGTACTGTACTATACTATACTATATATATATATATATATGGTATGGTATGGTATGGTTTGTGGACTCGTTTTCCGCACTTAGACGCTCACTAGGTCCGTTGTACGTGAGCCCTGGCTAACTAAGCCAGCCTAACTCCTTCCAGAAGCACAGAAGCTTCCTGGGCACTTCGCAGGCTTCTCGGAGCGACCTCACTGTTCCGAGGATTTCTGTACGTTGTTTAGCCACAGCCTCGCACTCCAGGACTACGTGGGTGACTGTTTCCTCTGCGTTGAAACAGCCTCTGCACATGGGGCTGTCTGTCGCGCCTAGGACATAAAGGTGTTTATTAAGGAGGCAATGGCCCGTGATTGTCCCTATCATTATTTTGAGGTTATTTCTGGTTAGATTTAAAAGTTGTTTAGTCATTCTTGTGTTAGTCACTGGCAGAACCAATTTGGATTGCCTGCAGTCCACACTTGATGACCAACGTTGGTGCTGGAGTTCCTCAGATCTCTGGCGAATCCATGTTCGCACTTGCGAGAAGGGCAAGGGTAGGAGCGGATACGGGCCTGCCGGCAACATTTCCGAGCCTCTCCTCGCAAGCTCATCGGCTGCGTCATTGCCGAGAGATCTGCTGTGTCCCTTAATCCACTGTAGGGTGACCCTGTTCGTCAGGGCTAATGCCTCCAGTGCATTGTGGCACTCCAGCACCAGTTTGCTGTTTGTCGTGTCACCCCCTAACGCCATCAGCACAGACGCGCTGTCGGATACGAGCTTAATACAAAAGTTATTAACTCCCAACCGCTTTACGCCTCTGGCTGCTTCGGTTAGGGCAACACACTCGCATTGAAAAATCGAACTGTGTATGCCTAGGGGTAGGTGTGTTTTGATGTTGAGATCTTGAGAGAATATGCCAGCACCGGAGCCGCTCCCTGTCTTTGAGCCATCAGTGTATATGCGTAGCTCGTTCGCGGTCGATCGATCACATTCCTCTTCTCTCAGTTGTACATGGTATTTCTTGTTTAGCATGTGTTGATTAACAATCCTATCGCATGGCGCAGCTATTAGCGGTTGGTATTCTATTGCCCTGTTTAGGATCGCTGTGTGTGTGCTGTAATGATTTTTACCCCATAAATCCAGTACCATAAGCCTGATGGCCGCCAATGCTGCCTCCTGCTGTATGTGTATGTCAAGGGGTGCAACTTGGAGGGCTAGCTCCAATGCTGAAGTTGGCGTTGTTTTCATGCAACCACTGGCAGCGGACAAGGCAAGCCTTTGGAAGCGCCCAAGTTTAGTTATTACTGTTTGGAGTTCTGTCCTCGGCCACCAGACTAGGGCTCCATAAGCCAGCATTGGCCTGATTACGGCAGTGTAGAGCCATAGCGTAATCTTAGGCGATAAGCCCCATTTGACGCCTAGCATCTTTTTACATTGATAGAAGGCAATCGTGGCCTTGTTTAGTTTATGTTCAAGGTGTTTGTTCCAAAGCAGTTTGCTGTCTAGAATCACACCTAGGTACTTGACGTTTTCTTTTAGTTTTAGTTCTGAGTTGAAGAGTTTTGGTAGCCTGTACGAGCCAAGAACCCTTCGGTTTGTGAACAAGACTAGTTCCGTTTTTGACGGGTTGACAGATAGCTCGTGCTGATTGCACCATCTCTCAATTACTCTGAAAGCCTTCCTCATGCGATCACATAAGGTGCTTTCAAAGTTCCCCGATGTTAGGATAGCTATATCATCCGCATACCCTACTGTGTAGAGATTGATAGCGTTTAGTTCTGTGATGAGCTCATTTACCACTAGATTCCACAAAAGTGGTGAAAGGACACCGCCCTGTGGGCAACCCCTGCTGACAACACCACGCGTGGTGGTGTTCACGGTGAACTGTATGGCTCGATGTTTCAGCATGTTATTTATCCACTCTGTAAGGGTCGATGGTACTCCACAAGTGACAAGTGCATTGGTAATGCTCGTGAAGTTCGTTTTGTCAAATGCACCTTCAATGTCAATGAAAGCGCCGAGGGTTGACTGCTTTATTTTCAGTGAGTTGCCAATGCGGGATACTACGTTATGGAGTGATGATTCTGTTGATTTGCCTGAGCTGTAGGCATGCTGATTAGGATGGAGGAATTTAGCCAATGTTACCCGACTGCGTATCTCCAGGTCTCCCAGTCTCTCCAGTGTTTTGAGGAGAAATGATGTGAGACTGATGGGTCTGAAGGACTTTGCTTGGGTATAGTCCTCTCTTCCTGGTTTAGGTATAAAAATGATTTTTACTTCTCTCCATTTCAGAGGTATATAGCGGTGAGCTATGCAGGCTCGGAATAATGGCACCAGATAGTCAACTATAAGGCTCCCACCCCATCTTAGTAGGCCTGGGAATATCCCGTCCAAGCCCGCAGCTTTGAATGGAAGAAAAGAGTTGATCGCCCATGTTACCTTTTCTCTTGTGACTATTTTGTCAGCTACCTGCCAGTCGGAGTTGACGGTTGCTCTTTCCGCGTATTTCTGCCATGTCTGCTCGTTGGCAATTGTACAGCCAGGAAAGTGAGTCGCCAGCAGTAGCTCACATGTTTCTTCGTCAGTTTTTGTATATGTGTTGTCAGGTTTTTTTAGGCAGCCGACCGAGTGATAGGTTTCCCTAGAGAGGCATGATTTCACTCTGTTTGCCTGGTTGTTGTTTTCAATACTAGTGCAGAAGTGTCTCCAGCACTCTTGCTTTCTAGTACGAAGAAGTTTCTTGAACCGCCGTCTAGCGACTGTATACTTGTCCCAATCCCTAGGCATCATTGTGTTGCCCGCTCTATTGAACAGTTTTCTGACCTTCCGGCGGTGTCTCTCCAGTTCGGGGCACCACCAGTTCTGTTTGCCCCCCATCTTGGCATGGTGAGGGGGCATGACTGCTCATAGCTTGTCAGAAGTAGGGACGTTAGGTTATTTGCATGTTTGTCTATGTCTTGTGCATCAATTATTGTTGGTAATGTTAGTTTTGCTATCTCGGAGCTGACTAGTTTGTGAAATTTTCCTGAATCAGTTCTCCGAGGTATTCTTCTAGGTTGTGGTTTAGGTAGGTCCCCTTTGATTGCAAAGCGGATCCACCTGTGATCCGAGCATGATAATTCACCAGACACATGCCAGTCATGTATCTGGTCTGACAGGCCTGGCGTTATCAGTGTTAAGTCAATTATGGTTTTTGAACGTGCGTTGATAAATGTTGGTTCTGAGCCGCTGTTTGCTAGGATAAGATTATTACTAAGTATGAAATTAAGCATATTCTCACCTCGAGCGTTGGTATTAGCATTACCCCATAGCTTGTGATGTGCATTGGAGTCTGCTGCTATGATGAGCTCCAGTTGCTCCCTCTCGCAGTAGTCGGCTAGAAGACCGAGTTCCGGAGTGGGCACGTCCTCGTCGCCAGGTAGGTAGGCTGACGCCAGGACAATGTCTGGAAGCTCGTTCCTGGGTAACCTAACAACTGTGAGGTCCCTTGAACATAGTTCGTTTATTAGTAATGCTGGTACATGTTTGGGTATTAGTATGCAGGTTCTTGGGTTACTTACGCGGGTGTCCAGTAAGGTTTTACCACCGGTGTTACCCAGGCCGCATATCTTGCCATTCCGGATCCACGGCTCCTGGATCGCGGCGATGGTCTTGGGGTTGGTCTCCAGCAGTCTGCGCAGGGAAGCCGACGCTGTTTGACTATGCTGGAGGTTGGCTTGAATAAGGTCAGTTCGGCGAAGGGGAGGAGCGCAGACAGCTGTCGCTGAGTTCACTCCCCCGGTCTCCTGAAATAACTCCTCATCCGATGTTAGTTGTGCCGTCTCCATGGGAACGTGAGTCTTGGTCACTCGGCCATCCGCAGCCTTCTCCGTCAGTGACGTGGAAGGCGTTGGCCTCGGTGTCACCGTCCCCGATGTGCTGGCAATGGCTTGAGGCGGGGCGTCAGCCACCTGCGAGGGTTCATCCCTATCCAGGATGCGGATATAAATGTTCCCCAGCAGATAGTAAACACGCCTGTCTTGTTTCTTGATCATTACGATCTCGGACTCTGGCACACGGAAGAAGAGAGAGACGCCTGTCGGGTCCTTCGTTCTCCGCTCGTGCGTCAGGGTCCACGATCTGATGTTGTAGTGGCGGTTCTGCCTCAAAATCAGTCTCATCAGGTTCTCCGTGCTGTCAGAATAATCTGGGACGTGTAGTAAGCATGGAACCTTTCTAGGGATTGCTGACTGAGGCCTAACTACCAGCCTGGTGTCTGGTATAGGGTTGGTGATGGCATCGCAGGTACTGGTCAGCCACCTCAACGCGTAGGCGTCCTCGCACCACATTTTCAGGACGCCATCTGCGAAGTGGGCTTTGCCCCGGAACCTGATGTCGTTGGTTTCTTCTGTTAGAGGAGCTGCAAAATCCGCCATTAGCTCGTCATGCAGCTTACCCTGGATTTGTAGGCGGATGGCTTCCGCCTGTTCTTGGGTCATGTCAAGGAAGGGCTCGGTCATTACAGCAACACAGAACTCATTTGTTTTGTATGCTGCCGCCGCTTCCGCGTAGCTGGCCGAGGTCCCTCCCACCGTTCGAGGTCGGTTAGGTTTTACCCTTTTCCTTTCCCCAGTCGGTGTAACTGAGTCCTCAGGCCGTACACGTTTCTGGCCCTTCTCTCGTTCATTGGTTTTCGGTTTCTAGCTGTTTGCGGGTCTCGTGCTGCACTTGGAGCCGTCAGGCCTTAGCGCGGCATTCGACGCCGTCGGCTTCGGTTCCCATCTCCTGCCACCTGTTGCTCTGCTAGCTCCAGGGGCTGGTTTTGGGTTAACAGGT